TAATAAACGCAGGAAAGATAATCATGAAACTAGGGGAAGTTAGAAAATTTAAACTGGACAAACCAAGCCAATTGTTATCGGTTCAATAAAAATTGAACAGTTAGACTGACCTCCTCATATGCGTGCAGCAATGCATGCTTCACTAATTGGGAACCATCGAAATAAGGGATAAATGATTGGATTGAACATGTGTATTGTGCTCTAAAATAAAATTATTACTAAATTTTGAGACTTTTATTGATCCAAATGATCACTAATTAAAACTAAAAGCTGAGGGAAATAAATCGATAAACCGGACGAAAGATGCTTCTCCAAAGCTGTTCCAGTTCTATCCCTCAAAAATGTAGAAGTAAAGCTTAAGGAAGGCTAGCTATTGAGAAGAAGAAAGAACAGAATAAACCTATTAATTAAGGCCCGATTGGTGGGATCATCAGCTGATATAGTGTGATTGAATTGGAAACCCATTTTAGGATTGAGAAAGTAATAGGGCAACCAGTATGTGCCCTCATCTTTCATCGAACCGACCAATACGCTTATATTCTTCGTGAAATCGCGCATTCGCAATTTCGTAAATAAGTTACCCTAAAAAGCTACCAAATTAAACACAAATTATCATATCGATTTTGTCAGGATCTCACTGCAAGTGTTTGTTTGGCGCAATGAGGGCTTAGGATAAGTATGAGTTCAGATTTTAGCTTTTCGAGATTATTTTGAAGTAACAGCGGAATAATGGCCAAAAGAAACGATGTTGGCCAAAAAGTACGTAAATACTACTACTTCATAATATTTGAAACTTTACAAGGAAAAAATTTACTGCTGTAAGGCATTATGCAACAGAAAATGTAGTTGCGCCTTTAGCGAAGCACAAAGCTAACCGAATGAATGATTCGTTAGTTTCGAACCTTGAAAAAATGTTCATCTTCTTCGACAGGCACAAATGGGAAGGTCATTGGTAGGGTTTGATCCATCCCAACAGCGTCCGCTGCTTTCTGCAAATAGAATTTATTTCAGATCAGTCTTTGATTAGCCCAAACTTCTCTACGCTCACTCACATTTGAATAAACTTCGAAACACGTTGTAAAATGACTCTACCAACTCAAGGTGGACTACTTGTCATCAACCGATAGTCCTGTTTGTACGGCTGAAGTTTTAAGTTTAATTAATTTTACTGCACATAATAATTCACTGCATATATAATAATGTAATATTTCAGAGTTTAGTTTAGCTTTTTTCAGAGTTTAGCGTTTAGCTTTTTTTAAAAAACCCTGTGGTTTTTTAATCTAAAAATACTGATTTTAAAACTGGATTGAGAAACTTTTAATTTCTCTCTAAATTAAATTATCAAATACCTGTATATTTGCAGCAGATGCTTGTCTGATGCATTCTGCAATCAAGTTAACATCTGAATGTTTGTTATGTCCAGAGGTACAATTCAATTTCTCAGCCAGAAATATGGATGTTTGTAGTGCCATATTCTTCTCTTTTATGGCCCATGAATTGGCTATCGTACCGCTCTATAGCAATAAAATTAGCGAGGCTTTTTTCTTTGAACTAGGAAATTTTTGCATAGATTCTAAAGACTGAATTCCAATTCAGATCAAATCAGCTTACCATCAGTACTGCTCTTCGGAAATAACGAAAACTTTCAGGTGCGAAAAAATGAGCCGTTACGGATGCTGCACCTGCGCTTTCTCCGAACAATGTTATCTGCAATATTTCCTCCTTCTTTTTTCTGGTTTCATTAAAATTTTGAGCTCAGTATCTCTAACAAGCTGTTCAGAATCGGCAAAAGAAAAATTTATCCATTTTTAAAAATACCTTATTTGGATCACCACCAAATGAGGCGATATTTTCATAAATCCATCGTAAAGCAAGTTGCTGATCCATTAGGCCCATATTACCAGGTATCGATGATTTATCGCCAAAGTACAAAAAACCAAATGGTCCTAGCCTATATCATAAGTCAAAAAATTAAGTGTTGCCATACATGAAGACCAATATTTTCAAAAGGTTAACTTTACAGTAAGTGCAAGATATTCCAATTAAATATTGGAGAATGATGATATATGCGATAATTCATTCCCTATTTGAAATAATCTTATAAATTCATTTTAATTTACGATAATACATCAATTGGTGACAGTCAAATAGCGTCTGAATGCTTATCAAATTTTAGGAATTGTCTATTGTCCAAAAAAAAAAAACTGCAAAAAAATTTTGCTGCAAGAAAGATTGGCAGCCTTTTTTGATTAGAATGCTATTCAGATCAGTATAAGGACACCTGTAATTAATGTTAACGATAATTGTCTTTTGACGACTCGCAAGCACTCGTCCATCGTAAAGATCCAACGATGGTGAACCAGAATAGAAGCCACCGCCATAAATCCATACCATCACTTTCCCGTCATGTTTCTGTGGTACCCACATATTCAGCGCCAAACAATCCTCATCGTGTACCTGTTCAAACATATCTTCTTTACAAACATTGAAAGATGTACTTGCAAAATTTTGCAGTGTTGCTAGAATTATTGAAAAGTTATGGTTGTCACAATGATGATCTACCAAGCTAGTAGCTCGATAAACCAGTAACACAGTAACCCATCATTCTTCTGGCTGTTAATACACAATTAGTTTGGTTAAAGCTTGCAAACGTCCCGTTAAACACCGTAGTAAATAATTAGTGACTATATACTTTAATTTGGGGCACTTAAATTTTCAATCCAAATAACTAGCAGGGTTTCGCCCTATATGATATTACTAATTCATTTGGTTAATTGCATCATTAATATATGATTCTTTTCGAAGTTCTAATGAGCGGAAAGTATTCAGGTTATCCGGATGGAAAACAGTACAGCATAAGAAAACATAACTCTTTTCTGTTCCTTCTTCTGTAAGATTAATTATAAGAAACATGCATCAAAGAAAGGTTACATTTGGTGGATTCCACATTTCGGCACCAGGAAATTGCGGGAATTGGTTGTCTGGAGTAATGTAACATGTTCGGGCAGGTTTCTGGGCTTCCAATTCGCCTTGCCAGGGTTTAATCATTTCGGGTAATGCAAATCTTCGACTACCAAGAGGTGGTTGGGCAAATGGAATTCCGAGGTAAGCATTTACAAATGTATCACCGAATTGCTGTAATTAAATTAGCTTCAGTTTGAGTGAATTTAAAACGGATAAAATTTGCTCTTCTTCAAGGTTTTACTTATTCATGTATCTTTAGAGATGAAGAGCTAACTGAATCTGCCGGAAAATTCATAAATCTTTTTCATGGTTTTTTGGCATTATGAACATAGCAACCAAAGAAATAAATAAATTACTTTTAATTAGTCTCTTACAGTACACTTAATTCCCGAGTGTCATGAATTATTTTCGCCCATTTTAACAAAAAATGCACTTCCCATAAATCTTATTTAGCAACATTTGCCACTAGAAATGTCTAATTACTGTGTCCTTTGGCATTTCCGCTAGGAATCATCGAAATTCTCTTCTATAAGTGCAAGAATCTTTTAAATATCATCCTACGCTGTCTCCCATTCACTGTCATTCCAAATCCGATATGTTATCATTGCTCGATTATATTATCTATTACTATCGTAATTTCATCATTTTTGAGGATTACAGTAATCTAACTCAACCGAATAACCCTTTAAAATTTTAAGTTTCAAAAAGTTCAGAAAGCAAAATGAATTTACCTGCTGTATGCCACGAATAATGCCTAATTTGGTGCGGACAACGGGCTCCTCTTTGGGTGATATCCTGCTGGTATAAGTCGTCTCTATTGCTGTCAACAAGAATAGATAAAAAGTAGCAAAGTACGGGTGCATCATCGTTCGTCCACATCCTAATAAATCATCCTTATCTGTATGTCCTAAAAATCAACAAATTTTTGAAACATATCTCTCACCCATAGACAGCAATCTCTTTATGTTATACTCGATTAATTACTCGAAATTGAACCGGTATGATTTTGATATGTCATCCGAGATAGCCAACTGTTGGCTCGTTTCATTTAATCATTTCAAAGTTATTCTAAAAAAAAAACTATGTGTAACATATTAATATTCAATGGAAATTTAAATTCATACTTAATAAGCATTCGCAATGTCAAACAGAAAATAAACGACAAAAAGAAGCGATTTCAACAGATGTGCAACATTCGATTTGCAATAGTCAATTAGAGGAATAAATGAGTTTCGATTTTGTAATTTCTAAGACGAATGGTTTTTTCAATTAATTTACTGGATGTTTTTTGATTAATTTATTGTTGGCCATTCGAATTACAGTATAACTACTCTAAAATATGTATGCATATATACTTTGAAATATTGTTTTTGAAAAAAAAAGTTAAAATAAGAGGTGTTACTGGAAGGTTGAAATTTGAATACAGTTTTCTATAAAGAACTGCAAAAGGTAAAATCCTATTTGCGGAAATTTATTCGATCTACTTTATTTATCAAATATTCGAATGAAAATGAATAGCCCTGCGAGTTAGCCTACTCTCAGATTAGCTGAAAATAAAATTTAACTAGACCGAAATTTTGAGTATGGCATCTCTCCCCTTCCGTCTCCATACGCCTGGCTTATTTTTGCATATCTTGTTTTCTCCTTTTTTCCTTCTTAGCTAATTTTTTCTTCTGATTCCAAGGGGTGAGTAAAATAAAAAGTTTTGAAATGCTTCCAAATGAAGGTAAGATATTTTAAGAAATTCTCCCAACTAAATGCAGTCTACAAGCCTATCCAATTCAATATTTCTTCTTTTGTGACATCTGTGTTGTTTTGAAAGATAAAAAAAAAAATGGAGCATTCTAGGCAATCTGTAATATTCATTCTCGTATGTAGAAAGATGTGCAAACTTTCCGATATAAAATCATTAATAAAGTTGACAATTTTCTTCTTTCCTCATTCTAACTTCCAATTTGATTCACTTAATATTCTTGATTAACTTTGTTATTCCATTAAAAATTAAACTTAGTAGGTATATTTTCCTTCCATCATCCTATTTCTAGCCAAATATATTACTGAAAATTCATATTTCTTTTGATAGTTCGAAATTTTGCTTGTAAAAAAGGCGTCATCACCAATGAATTTACTTCTTGGTTAAAGTCAACTATGCACAGTGATATTCGGAACCAATAAAGAATCATCTTTTAGTTAGCTATTCTGAAGACATCGTTGAAGACATTCTGATGACATCGAACTTCTAAAAACATCGTTGATATTTTAAATGATATTTATTCCCAGAAACATGTAGTCCGCAATGGTCTGGCCATTATGTTTAGGTATATAGCCTGGCAAAAAAGGTGTCCAAATTTTCGTCTCATTTAAAGCAATTCGTCTTTCTCTCTTACCTAAAACTTTGACCAAAATGTAATTTCAATTTAGGATCTTTTGATGTCCCAATCATTATTAAGAGATTTGAAATTTAAAAAAGTATATCCTTGCAGTTTGTAAAATCATTTGTTGAATGTGGACAATTGAAGAAATAATGCAAGTAACTAATGTAAATTTAGAAAACTCAAGCAGCATTTGTTAAATTCAAAACTTCTCGATCAACATTCAAAATCAAAGTGAAATGAGAAATTAGCGAAATATGTGCGGAAATCCTAATGAGTAGAAATAAGTATTATGACACTTATTTCAACCATTAACTTCTCTATTCAATGTATAAGTTAAGTAAGAACATTTATGCTTCATCAGCTCATTATTTTCTTGTTTAATATATGCAGAAATTTTATCCGATATTGCCAGGAAAATTCAACTAATTATGTTTTGATGAAGGGTATTGTAACTTGAGACGATTTGCGCCGCATCCACTTCATTCGCCAGTTTTTATCTTCCAAAAAATTGGCAGATATATTTTGTTGTACCCAGAAGGATCAGTATGACAGTGTACTGCTACTCTATCCATAGTTTAAAATTAATCCAATTACAGATAGAAAGCCCAGAGAGTTGATCAAGCCTCGGATGTACTGCGATTTCCAGCTTTAAAAAGGGAAAAAGAAATTGCTGATATTTATAGAAGACTTTTGCTTCGATAGTGAGAGGAAAGAAAAGCTGCGGAATCTCTTACATGCATAAGAAGGATAATAAATAACAATTTCTAGAATCTCTTATATGCCTAAGAAGGATGATCAATAACAATTTCTCAACGACAATTCCGCTTTCTTTTGAAAAGGACGCAACTTTTTCTTCCGGTTATACTAAAAAGGTTCACTGAAACAAATTTACAGGAAAAGAAAATTTAAAAGATTCAAAAGAGTTAACAACTTTTTCTCCAATAATTCTTAGTTACTTTTATAAAGTTTAATTTTGATGTGTATCAACAATCCAAGCTTTGTTCTTTCAACAATAATACAACATACGGGTCACTTTTGATTATTTGCGCCTCAGTTTAATAATAATTATAATTATTGTGGCTGTTCCTTTCGCTAAACAATGAAATCGTTGTTCTCATGAGTATCAGTAGCTCAAAAAGCAAATCATCACATACTATATTACACCAATTAATATTTAAAGTATTGACAACGAACGATGGAATTGTTAAAGGTTTATGAAATGAAGAGATGCATCTCTATCTCTTATCCGTTTAGATATCGGTACAGCAAATCTAGTAAGCTCTAGAAATCTTGTAACCTAAAGGTAATATGAGACTTTCTCTTTTGAAGAATAATTACACCTGGAGAAACAATTTCATAATTTAGTTTTTTCTTTTTTTTGAAAAAAGTCATTTCGAATTTTAAATTTCATATGGAACATCTAGTGGATGCAATTAGCAGTAAGGATACAACCATTGACAGAATTTCATTTGATGATACGATTTCAATCGGTGTTCTGAAGACAACAGAGAATCTGTTACCAGTTCACCAGACGACGGGATATGATCAGTCATTAACACAGGAAGAAATGAGACACGTT